AGAGGGTCAGAGTGAGAGAGCGAGACGGAAGTGAAAAAGCAAGCCACGAGGTCCAGGACTCAAACCGCGGTCAGCCATGTGGGAGCCCAGCACACTTAACCAGCATGCCACCCGCCGGCCCCCATTTATTTATTTTTAAAAATACTTTTGTGGAGGGCCTGTTGGTGATGTGGTAGTTAAGGCAGCTGGATCCCACATGGCCGACTGCAGTTCAAGCCTCAGACTGGGTATCTTGAAAAACATGCTGAGCGTATGTGCATGTATACATGGCAAAATTCTGAGAGAGTAGAGGACAAGGGATTACAGAGTGACTGTCCCCACTGTAGGATCATTTCTCACTTTCTCCCTCAGTCTCTGTCTCCAGCAAGTACACACACGTTATAGCAAATTAAAAAAAGAAAAATCTTTTGTTTTTATATGAGACAGAAACAGAAAGAGAAAAAGAGGCACCCCTAAAGGGTCCCTGTGTCATGATTCACTCCCAGCCTCACCTGGCCAGGATCAAGGGCACACATGCATGCACCAGCATATACAAGGAGACCTTGGGATACGAACCTGGGACCTTCCCACATGGCTTCAGTGCGATGCCACTCTGCACCACCACTGCTGGCCAATACCTAACCTTTCTTGGCAGGCACTATTTTATTTATTAGGACTATTTATTTAACTTTATTTATTATTATTATTATTATTATTATTATTCAATTTGACTAGAGAGAGAGAAAGAGGGAGAGTGAGAAAGCAAGCCACAGTTGGCCAAGTCGGAGTCCAGCCAGTGCTCCACCTGTCAGCCCGGGCAGGCACTATTTTAAATATACTTACCATCTAATCCTCTCTAGAGCAATATGAAACGGTATTGCAGTGCTGTGTCCCCTTTTTACAGTCAGGCCTTTTGAGGCTCCATGTAAGCTGAGACCCTTGCCCAAAGTCACACAGCTACAAGTGGCAGCGCAGGATTTGAACTAGGTATGAGGCCCAGATTCTGGGCTCCCCTGTGGTCCTGAGGCCAGCAGTAACTAAGCAGCTGGGGCGGCCATAATGAAGTACCAGCCACTGGGTGACTTACACAGCAGAAATTCATTTCCTCACAGTTCTGGAGGCTGGAAGTCCAAGATCAAGGTGCTGGCACAGCCGGTTTCTTCCAAAGAAGGCCTCTTCTTAGCTTGGGGCCACCGCCTTCCTGCTGTGTCCTTGCTTGACTTTTTCTCCATGCATGTGCACCCCTAGTGTGTCTTCTTAGGACACCAGGCCTGTTGGATTAGGGCGCTTCTCTTACGAACTCATTCATTCTCTTCCTGGGATTTTGAGCAAGCGTGCACAAGTGCCTGGTGTGATTTTCCAGTTGCCCCATCAAGGACTTGAACTGTGGTCAGCCATATGGGAGTTCAGCGCCTTAACCACCATACCACCTACTGGCCACTAAACACAGTCACTTCTAAGGCACCGGAGATTAGGGCTTTAACATATGAATCTTGGATGGACACAGTTCGCTCATAGCAAGCAGCATTGCCTGAGGGCTGGTTAGAATGCAGGTCCCACTGCAAACCTACCCAAGAGAGATCCGCATCTTAGCAAGGCCCCGGGGACTTGTGTGCACATTCAGTGTGGGGAGGGCTGCTTGTCCGCTGGTAAACCATAACAAGTGAGAATGAGGACGTGTGTGAAGTGTGGGCCCTGGTCTAGGTAGCAAGGTGCTCAGCAGGTACAGAGCTACAAAGACCAGCTCGTCCTGGAGCTGGGCAAGGTGGGCTGCCATGCCTGACCTGGTGGCCTGCCATGCACTGCCCGCGCAGCACCCACTCACTCTGCCTTCCCTCTCCCCCAGACATCACAGGCCCCATCATCCTGCAGACCTACCGTGCCATCGCCGACTACGAGAAGAGCTCAGGCTCTGAGATGGCTCTGGCCGCGGGCGACGTGGTGGACGTCGTGGAGAAGAGCGAGAGCGGTCAGGCCCTCCTTCCCCTGCTACTCGGGAAGGGAAAGACCCTAGCCAGGGCTCAGGCAGCCTCAGGCCTCCTTCTGGCCTGGTCCACTAAGGAGAGGGAGATCAGCTCCCTCAGGGGCCCCAAATGTCCTCTCCACACTGTGACACCTTCTGTCTGTGCACCCAGGGTGGCTGTGGGTGTCCATGCATGCTCCATGCCTGAACTGTGTGCTTATGGGTGTCACATTAAGTGGCCCTGAGCTGCAGTTCTGTGTGCCTGTGTATGCGGTGTGTGATTCCCAGGGCCACTGTGATCGTGATGCTGTTGAATTGGGGCGTTGGAGGTCTGTGTGTCCCTGTCTCTTCCTCCCTACCATCCCAGGGTCCGAGGGAGGCTACCTAGTGCTGCCTCTCATGGCCCTCCCCGACCCTGCACAGGCTGGTGGTTCTGCCAGATGAAGACGAAGCGTGGCTGGGTCCCAGCATCCTTCCTGGAGCCCCTGGACAGTCCCGATGAGGCAGAGGAACCAGAGCCCAACTACGCAGGTGCCCCTTGCCCTCCAAGGTCTTGGGGGTATGGGAGGAAGGAACAGGAGAGCCTGGGGATACTGAGAAGGCAGAGTAACTGCTATGGGGTCTGGCCTGGCTGCTGGGTGGGCGGAGGGGCAGTCAGGGCTGAGATCCCACTGTGTCTGGTAGGTCAAGATGCCCTGAGTCAGGACAGGGAGCTGAGGGTGAGGGAGGAGGAGGAGGCCGGCCTGAGACATGTGGTGGCCGTGGGTGTGGGACCAGGCCCAGTGGAAAACTCGGGAAGAAGGGCTGCCAGGAGGTAGGGGTGTTTGCACTGACCAGAAGGGGAAAACTGGCAGCCAAAAGGCTGGATGGCGCCTTAGTGAATTTGAAAAATTAGAATTAGAATGAGTATAAAAATTAGAATTGGCTGTGCATATTTTAAAATGGAGAGATTTCACCCTTTACGTGGATTTATGGCTCCTCTTTAAAAACTGATTAAGGCCTGCAGCCATGTGCGATGTGGATGGGCATTCCACCACTCACTTTACAGCCAGCCACTTCTCACGATCACGCACCCGGCCAGGCCTCTGCAGCCATGCGAGCTGCCAGCCGCTGGTGCTGGTGGCAGGGG